TTATTTCTCAATTTGCAATAAATGTTTTTATCTAAAGAGCACCCTAATGTTTGAGCAGTTGTCTTGGTATTGTCCTTTGAAGCATTATTAAAGATCTCAACTCATCGTCTAACCACGGGGCACCGGTGCCCTTTACAGACCTGTACAGTGGAGCGTGCTTATCCACTAGCTTCACAAATTTGTCCATTAATTTTTTCAAAGCAATATGTGCATCATTTACCAGGCACACATCAGACCACTGCAAATCCTGAACATCATTCACAAATGACTCTGGATTAAATCTTCTATATGACCTGCAGTAAACAATTCTGACTCCAGATTTAGTCATTTTAGTCCTTCTTGTTAAAGCAATCAAATTATTAATTATGATTAATTATAATATTATTACTTTCATTAATGTTGTTGTAAGCTACTGTCATTACCGTCTGTCCTGCATCTCTCTCTGTCTCTGTCTCTCTTTCTGTCTCATTGTGTCATACGGTTTACTGTTAATTTCTTATGCTGATCTGTTCTGTACGACATCTATTGCATGTCTGTCCGTCCTGGAAGAGGAATCCCTCCTCATTTGCTCTTCCTGAGGTTTCTACCTTTTCTTTTTTCCCCGTTAAAAGTTTTTTTGGGGAGTTTTTCCTTATCCGCTGTGAGGGTCCTAAGGACAGAGGGATGTCGTATGCTGTAAAGCCCTGTGAGGCAAATTGTGATTTGTGATATTGGGCTTTATAAATAAAATTGATTGAAATTGAATTGAAATCATGGTCACTACAACCCACTGCAGTATCAGTTTCAGTGGGTGTGACTGTGAGCACAGCTCATAATAATTTGTGTAAAAAATATGATCAATGCAGGTTGAAGTATTAAAGAGGACATGAAACAACGGAACAGACACCAACATAGGAGATGTGTGCATTATTAAGACATACTGACGAAATAAAAAGTGGGAACAGTCAGCCTATTTTAGAGAAAATCCACTTTTTAAATGCATTTACGATACGTTTTGGGCCGTGCTCAGCGCCATCTTTATTTTACGTCACCGCCTAAAACTCATGTTATCCCACACCATACAGTCAGCGGTCATCACAGCTGATGCAAACCGCTAAAGAAACACTACTTACCGTGACTCCACGTTTTTCTAAAGCAGTCAGTCAGGAATCCAAACGTAATAAAATCCCCATACATCAACTCCAATCCTGTTATCTTCCTCACCGTCATCCTGTTTATTCATCTTGCCATCTCTTGCCATGCATGCACTCAAGTTTTTTCTAGCTAGCTTTTCCTTCACATGGCTCGGCTGCCAAAAAAAGCCGTCACACACGTCTAGTGGCAAATTAAAAAACAAATATACATGTGCATATGTATGTCGGAGCCATCACGACACAACGTAAGGCACAATAATTTACTTTTCAACCCAAAGTGTTGACCCTCCGTCCAGCAACCCGCTTAAGGCCTCACTTGATGTTGTGTTTACCACCGGGCCGGAATTGGCTCACAACAAAATTAGCATTTTTGATTGGCCGATGTTAGCGCTATCCGCTCGCTACTGCTAATGTTTAGTCATAACCAACATTATCATAACACTAAATAGTCAACAAGAACAGTAGCGGTGGCAGGCCTAATAATATATTGATGCATTTGGCAGTTATTCAGCATTTCATTCTAGTCTAGCTTTTACCTTTTACTGAACATACATTGTAGATATTTATGCAAATAGCACTGGAACTTTGTATTGGTCCTGAACTGCAGTGACACACAACAGTCACTTCATGACAGATACTATCAGTCTCTAAAAACTAGTACTAGTATCTGTTACCTACTACAGCACCTAGTAAAAACACATTGTACATTAGTGCAAATCAGGAGGACATTGCTAATGTAGTGAGGTGCATGATTCTCCATGGACATTAGAAATAACTGTATATTGATATTTTTGATAGTCACAAAAGAATAATAACTCGTAGAACTGTAAAAAATAAAACTGTAAAGTAAGATAAGTCAGTGAGGAAAAGAACTGGTGACATTATGACATATGATTCTGGCTGCTACATTCTGTACCCAGGCTCCTACAAGAAATGCGATATTAACATTATAATTTTGTTAATTTTGTTTAATGTCCCTGAGAAGCAAAGCAAACATCCCCAGTGTTTACACACATTAATCTTATGATAATAAAACACCAAATAATTATATTGATTCAACAAGCACTACAGCCAGAACTGGTACGGACATTTAACCAAAACCAATTACACCCAACCATCACTGAAACAAAACAGAGGATACATTGGATAGTTTTCTATGCATGGTTATCAAAAGAATAACAACACAACAAAAAGTGTTTAGGTATATGATTCTTTAATAAATCAGTAGTCAGGATGTAAGTACAAAGTTTTTCATGTTAAGGCTGATAACATCATTTGGGTACCTAAAAAGTGTACATTTGTGTTAACAGGTTAGGCAGGCATGCATGCAACTGGTGGCCAGCAGCAAATTCCCAGAGGCTGACATCAGTGAGGAGATAGAGCAGGTGACAGGCAGTGTGCACACCCTAACAGTCAGTGTCGGCACCCAGACCGATCCATTTCAACAGGATACAGAAGAGGGAGACAATAAGCAGTACATTTGCACAGGCACTTTGACAGATGACATACTTACCAACCAGGTCATAAACAATGACCACTCATACTGTACATCTGTGGAAGGCCAGGCCACACAGGCTGGAATTGGGACCCGGTTCTTCCTTCCCAAATGGCCCCTGGCCCAGAGGGTAAACTGTCTGTAGGCAGTCAACCTAAAGAGACTGATGGAAAAGAAATGTATTGGTTAGATTTGTCTCAATTTTTTAAGATCATAAACAAGTTGTTTGTTGTCAGGAAAGATATAACAGGGCGTCTTTTTTCTTTTATATGTGTCCACTTGTTAGAGTGTGAGAGTGGAAATCCATTTGGTAATTTATGTTAACTTGAGCCTTGCTTCATATCCACTTCTATGTATTATTCTATATCACCTACAAAGTACAAAATATTGAATCATTCCTTTCAGATTCCAGAATATACGTCAACTGTGTATTGCTAATCTCACTCAAAAGTTATTGAGGATGAACCCGTCTGAATGTCTGACATCAAACTGTCTGCGTCACGGTGTTTTGACAGCGGTTTCCCAAACGTTGGTTTCATAACGTGCTGCACAACACGATGTAAACAAACTACGTATAGAAAGCATTCATGTGGCATTATATTGTTATGTCAGGCCTCTCAGACATGTTCCGCATCTAACTGGCTCCTTCACCAGTAGCAATATGTAACATAGTCAGCGATGTGAACCTGCGAACTAATGTTAGGTACCAGCATTGATAGCTAATAGCTGTTAGCGTCAACTAGCTAACGCTAAGGGTTAGCTAGCAATTAGTACTGGAGAAACGACATAAACAAAGACGTTTCGGTCAGACAACAACTGTATGTAAACAAACAGCACATGGAAACATTGTTCATATTCCTGGCCAACACCGTAGTGCATGCATTTGTTTTCTTTACTGCATACGGTTACTGAGTCATTCGCCCGCGGTTACAGCTAGCTTGACTTACCTGCTGGTGACGGGCGCTGCAGCGTCTCAGCTCTGACATCCCTCAGCGAAAGCATCGCTACCTCCAACACGTCCACCTCCCGGCACAGGATGCTGAATGAGCGCACCATGGTGATGCAGGGGTGGTCATGGAGAAGATGGTCCAGACCAGCCTCCTGGCACCAAATGGACTCTGGCACAGTGGGCATCGCCACACTGACACCACGTAATGTTGCCGACACGCCCTTGACCCCAAATCACCGGCTCAACCACTTCTTCCTCCCGTACCACTGCTCGATTCCCACGCCTTATAGGCTCATATGCGTAGGCAATGGGGCTTGTCACAGACTCAACAGGCCTCTCCAGTTCGTCTTCCTCCATTGTCAAAAAGTGTGGCGCTCAACCCAGTTCAGAAATGCTCCACTGTCTTCACTGTGATTGCTAGCTTGACAACCACTCCGGTGACGTCACGTCCGGCGACACAACAGACATGGCGCCGCCCTTTGTTTGAACAGCTGAACTTAAATGACAGGATTTTGAGATTCCTTTCATTTTCAGTGTTTAAACTAAAATTATCTTTTCAGGGTGAGAGACCCTCTTTAAATTATGATAACTATGTTTAGCGTTTCATGTCCTCTTTAAAGGTAGGATCTGGAGGATTTTCAAACAAAACAAGATATAGACATATACACATCCTGCTTAATCATCACCTATGGGCTTCTACTCTTGTGGTGGTGACTCTGTTTGCAGAGCTCTTGCCCTTTAACTGTATTTTGATGTTTTTGTGAGCTCGGACCGCTTCTGGGCGGAGATTTCCCCAGCCAATGAGAGAGCGCAGGTGCCGTGCCCGAGCGTGTCCGAGCGTGCACCAGCGCGAGCCTTGCCTGAACCTCTTCTGTGAAGCTTTCTTCCGTACCTCCGGGCTCCGTACACCCGGGAGAGTTGAGCCTGATAGGAGGGGCCGAATTTGAATGTGTGTTTACAAACAGCAACTGGAAAATCCTCCAGACCCTACCTTTAACACCATCTGTAGTAATGGAATTTCTTGTAGGTTGAGTAACAACCTGGGATAGATTGCACACACTGGCCATAGAAATCATTTTTTAAAGTAATGGACAATTTTTAGAAAGCCAGTCAGTGTTGATGTCACTAAGAAGGAAGATGTCCTTACTTTCGTCTGTCACCATATCATGAGTTTCACATATTTTATCCATGTAATTAACATTAGAAGTGGGTGGCCTATAGCAACAACCAACTAGAGTGGGCTTACAGTGTGGAAGGTGTATCTGTAGCCAAATTAATTCAATGTCAGTACTCATAATATCCCCCCCCCCACCTCCTCCTTTCCTTTCTTCCATTTCACTCAACGGGCAGCAGACTGCATTCAATCAGCCATCAGCGCTGATTGCAGGGAGGTGCCACCCACCTTTATATCTAGGCAAGGCAATACTGCTCTGGTTCCTCTTCCTAACCTCCAGAGTCTGGCGTCTGTGCAGTCTGGTGTGGCTGGTGTGCCTCCCGAGGCTTTTTGGTGCGTTAGGCCTGCTGTAAGCACTGCGTGCGTAATTGGTGTTATACCTGCCGGTTTCCTCGCTCTGCAGTGTGGCTGTCTCTCTCTCCCTTGGCGTCTTGAGTGCAGACCGCAGTTACGGTCTCCTGCTTCAAGTTTGTTACGCCACTCGGTGTTGAGGTAGGCTGGCTCGAATTAGTTTTAAGTTGTGGCCTGTCTCTGCCTGGTCTTCACCTGAATAAATTGTCTTTTTCCGGGGTTTCTGGTCAGCAGTTGGTAGAGTGCGCAACGGCCGTGCGTCCTCCCCTCCTTTCCGCTCCACTGTTGGAAACCGCCCTCTGCCCGGTGGTATGTTTATTTGAGTTCATACTACTATTGATTTCAACATAATTTCAAATGGGTAATGTTCGTTTTTTTTTAATGGTATTTACATTGCAGGCCCTTAAAGGCCAGGCTGTGCGCCACGGTGTAGTGCCTCCTGTTTTTTTACAAGCCATCAGCCTCCACCTCCTGGCGCTTGCTGCTGTTCTGTCTCCAATGACTTTTGGATTTTGTTGACTTTTCAGAACTTCCCGTTTACAATATTACCTGGTGTCTTTTTTTTTTATTCTCATTGACAAGTGGACTATATTTGGTAGCCACGTTCTAGTGGTTTCATTTATACCCCGTGCTGTTTTGTTTATTTGATTTAATTTACAGTAAGCAGTATTATGTCGTCTTTTGATTCTTTATTCCTTTTTTCCATTTTGTTTTGAGGTTTGTTTGTTTTCTGGGGGGTTGGTCGACTTACGAGCTATTCATATGCATGTCTTCCAACTCTTGGGTAATTTATATTAGACTCTTTGTTTATTGATTCAATTAGATGATTGTTATTAGCCTACTTTCTTTTGTAATTTTGGTTATCGTTTAGTTTCTGGGGTATATTGTTTGGGTAAATTGGGGTGTGTGTCTTGTGTGAGTGTGTTTTATGGAGTGTGTGGGAGATTGTTGACTTGAACTAACTGTGTTTCTCTGTTGCCAGGAGCAGCGGGGTGCAAGCCGGAGGCAGGCGGACCTCTTGGTGGTGGTGTCCTCCCTCACTCACCCCCCCTTTTGCACTTTTGTGGATTCTCGTCTCTGCCAGGGTTTAGTTGAACCTGAGTGTCTTATTCTTGTGTCCCTTGGAGGGGTTAAGTTCAATAATTTCCGGGGGGTGAAACTCCCCCAGGTGGCGTTGTCGACAATCTTCTCTATATTACTTCGCCTAAGTTTCGCCACATTAGCACAACTGAAATGTGGTCCTGAACATGCAACTCCACAACCATATTTGTATTTGTATTATATCTCTTCTATATAGCCTATATCCTTCGACAGCTAGCTCAGAATTATCAAAAGTATTGTCCAGGTGTGTTTCTGACTATGCTAAAACATGAATATTGTCAGAGAAGCAGATTCCGGTAATCTCATGAACCTTGTTCCTAAGGCTGCATATATTTAAGTGAACTAAAACCAAACCCTTCCTTGACAAACTTGATAGCAAATATGTATTGCTGTTAATTGAGCACAAAACAAATAAGAACTGTATGAAAAAAATAAAATAAGCAAAATTCAAATATCAAATGCTGAAACATCAATAGCTTTAAACTGATGATTGTGTTTGTCCACCCCTGGGCCTGATAACCAGTTTGTCAAACTTCAAGCTGGCTTTGTCACCCCTTTCTCTGGCAGCTTTCAACTTGGGCAGCAGCTCTTTCCTCCTCCGTTGCACAGCCTCTGAGAAGACTGAATTTATGTAGATGTTTGTGCCCTTTAATTTAATTTTCTTGGTAGAAGAAAGGATACACTGTCTTTAAAGCGTAAAAGCTTTACAACAGTTTTCCTGGGCTTACCCCCCTTCTGGTACTGGCCAATTCTCTGAGCACGCTCAATATCAATATTTGTGCCATTTAGTCCCAGGTTGCTAGAGAGCATTTGACGAACCTCTTCTCTGAGTCACTCCAGGTTTCTCCTTTCTCATCAGCAATCCATCAATTAAAATGTTTGTTCTCCTGTACTAATCCAGATTTGACTTTTTTTTTTTTCTGGGAGGGGAGGGGAGGGGAGGGAAGGGGACAGAGGGAGGGGTTAGGATTAGGCAAGGAGGAGCAGGGGTAGGTTGGGGTAGTGCAGAAGGAGTAGGGTGAGGTTGGAAGGAAGGAAGGGAAAAGAAGGGGAGGGAAGGAGGGGAAAAGAGACAGGGGTTACAGGCCTGAAAACTGCCAGTGGTAAAGAGCCGTTCCTGGTGGGCTGGCGCCCTCTGTTGGACAAAATGGGTTAGGGGTTATCATTCAGACCGTGGGGAGCAATAGTGTCCAGTCTGTGGATCCACACACGCTCTGCGCGTTTCCTCTGTCCCACCGTCCACATCGCATTGCTCTCCAGTCCAGAAATGATGAGAGCATCAACAGAATGTTCCTGAAAGTGACTGACTAAATGGGTAGTAAGGTTGTGAAGGGAAATGTTGCGTAAATGTTGTTGCAGCCGTGTTAACATTGTATTCTGTGTTTCTCCTACATAGTGTTTTTGGCAAACTGTGCAGGAGATGATGTACACAATGTTACTATCAAGAAGAGAAAATGAACCATGTGGGTGAAAGGATAATTGACTGTAGGGATTGGTGATGAATTTCCTGTTTTTGAAGTGTCGGGATTCCGGGGGTCGGTCTGGGTGTTTGTTGGAGGTGAATTGAGACCTCACCAAAAGATTACGTAGGTTTGGGTTTTTCCTGAACGCAGAAATTATTTTGTAGTCCTGTAGGGGTTCATGTTGGGCCTGAATATTGTTAAAGTTATGTTCTGGTGTAGGCCCAGAATACCTTGTGAATACGTGGAGACTAGGGGTAAGAGTGTAGCTTGTGGAGATGGGCCCGCCAGAGCGGAGGTCCGTTCCACAAGTCCTGGTTAGGGTAGGGGTGAGGGGATACTGCTCGTAGTGGTGAAGTCGAGGGGATGGATGAGTCACCGGGTGTAGATGTAGGGTATATTGTAAGGTCGGGGGGGGGGGGGGGGGGGGGGGGGGGGGGGGGGGGGGGGATATGGGGGGAGCGAGTGGGAGCGAGGGCGGCCAAGGTAGAGTTTTTAATAGTTCTGAAGAAACGTTTTGAATATTTTCTGTGTCGGAGAGCTGTGAAGAGAGTATTGGTTGCCTGGTGGAAATCAGATGGTCTAGAGCAAATACGGTGGAATCTGATGATTTGATTATGCCTTTAAATGTATGTTTTGGGTGGTAACTTGATTTGTGCAGGAGAGCGTGGGTATCTGTTGCTTTAAAAAAAAACTTAGACAGCATGCGCTTCGTGGATGTGTTTATAGGTTCAAAAAAAATAGTGGTGTCCAAGAAATCAGTCTGGTTCGGATCTATGGTGGATTTAACTGTAATTGTGGGATGGTGACTATTGAGTATTTGGACAAAAGTGTGGAATGAAGAGAGGTCATGTGTCCAGGCACCAATAATATCATCGAGAAATCTCCGAAAAAAAAGAGGTTGTAAGGGACACTTGGCCAAAACCTCCTGCTCCCACTCGCTCATATAGAGGTTGGCATATGACGGGGCAAAGCGTTGCCCCATGGCTGTTCCATGGGTTTGTAAATAGTGAGTGTCATTGAAGAGAAAATCATTATTCTGTAAACAGAGTTGGAGAAGCGAAAGGAGTTCTGAATCGGGACATTTGGGATCGGGATATCGTTGGAAGATTGTGTTTACAACTGCCAGGCCCAGATTAGTGTCTATATTCGTGTATAAGCTGTCGACGTCGATCGTGAATAGAAATGTATTGGAAGGAACAGCCATGGGGCGTATCATTTCGAGAAAATGATAAGTGAGTTTTGATGTAACTTGGGTGACGGGTGGAGAGGGGGGAGAGAAAATGATCGATGTATTGGGCAACATTATAGGTGGCACTGTTGCAGTCCGAGACTATCGGACGGCCAGGAGGAACTTCGGAGGGAACCGTCCAGCTCTGGGGTTGTTTGTGGATTTTAGGGAGCAGGCAAAAATAGTGGGGGCAGGGATTATTGGGTCCTGATAGAAAGTCTCTTTGTTTGGCTGATATGTAGCGTTTTGTGTAGAGGGTCTGAATTATGTGCTGTGTCTGTAATTGAGTATTGTGTTGTATTGTGGCTGGGATGTGTTTATAGTGGAGTGAATTGGATAGTTGCCGGTTTGCTTCGAGAAGGTATTGTTGTCTGTCCACGATGACTACTTTTGACCCTTTATCTGCCGGTTTTATTACGATGTTTGGATTTGTTATTAATTCCTGTAAGGCTAAGCGTTCGGCCCCCGACAGATTATCAGAGACATTTGGCGAGGGCCGATAGGTGTTAATTGTATTGTTATCGGAGTGGATAATGGATTGTATTGGTGGACGGATTTGTATGCCGGTGGGTTCCCAACTGGACGGTAATGTAAAGTGTCGTGTATTCTGATGATTTTTGCCGTGGAAATGGTCAATTATTTTGATACGTCTGTGATAATGGTGGAAGTCCCTCCGAAGCTCCTCCCAGTCATAACGGGAAAGGCGTGGAATGAATGACAGACCTTTTTCCAACAATTGGGTTTGAGATGGGGACAAAATGAGTAGGGAAGAGAGATTGAGGACATTGGACTCCAAGTTTAATTGAGCTAGGATTCGTTGTGTTAGGGGAGGTTGTGTTAGGGAAGGAGATCGGGGGGAGGGAGGGGAAGGGGAGTGTGTGGGATTGTGTTGTTTATTGGCGCCAGCAATTGAGAAGGGGTTAAGGGCACGGGTGTGCAAGGCCGGTGTAGGGTTCAGGTACGAGATAAACTCAATTGCTTGCACCAATAAGAGAATATGGTCCCAGCTGTAGCTGGGGTCCAATGGATATTATCCGCCTCGGTAGTGAAGGTGTCGTGAGGTATCTCTGTCAGAAACGGTAGATGGGTGGCGATGGTATTGTTAATAAGCTTCAGATTGTGTTGTTGGGTGGGTGTGAGGTTTGCGGAGAAATTCATGATAGGGAAATAGATGTCAGCGTTTGGAAAGACGGTGCGGGCTAGTCTGGAGAGTGCTTTGAGTTGTTTGATTGAAGTTTGTTTCGGGTCTTGGTCTTTGTTGTTGAGACCGACCGATAACACCAGGATCTTGGTGGAGGGGCTGGGGGGGGTTTTTTCACAAATTTTGAGGAAATGATAGAAGTTAGCACCCGGATAACTGTCTAATTGGATATCAGGATTGTTGTGCGCTGGGATGCGATTAATATTAGAGTCCCCCAAGATGACCACAGGCTTCCGGGGCCTAAAAGACCAGTCAACCAGTTTTCTGTATGGGCGAGCGAGGTGATAGGCTGGCCTGAAGGTCATGCTGGGGGGAGGTATGTGGCGTGAAGGAGGTGGACAGGGTGACGGGGCTGATAGGCGGGCGGTAGGGGTGGGGGGTTGTGGTAGAGGAGAGTTGTGCGGGTCGGTGTGGTCGGCGTCAGGCTCCGTGTAAAGTTGGTAATGGGAGGGCTCAGAATGGGTGCTCTGATCTGCCGCCATCATGGCCTTGAGAGTCCCTATCATCATTGTTTGTTTGCCCTGAGTTTGGTTTTTGTTATTGTTTTTATTATTTGGATTTTTATGAAAAGAATTCTTTTCATTATCATCCAGGGAAGCCGTGGCGCCAGTCACTTCGACCCTAATCTGGGTTGTTCTGCTAGAGAGGAAATGGAAGAGATGAGGTCATGAGTGTGTACCGCCACATTGGATTTAGTGTACATTGTAGTTAGTGAGACGGATTCAAAGTCAACAGAATTCGGCCTGGGTACCTGGGGCGAAGGTTGGACTCGATCCCCAGTCTCCCAGGTGACAGACTGCGCTGATAGCAGTGTGCCATGTGTGGATTGACGGGAGATTGTCTGGGGATGTTCTTCAGTTGGCTGCTGGGGGAGAATGGGAGAGGATGAAGGCGATGGAATAGAGTCGACACATCAGCCAGCACTGACTTGACATCTTGGCTTACAAAAAGCTAAAACCTCAACATCTCTCTATTTATGCTCTCAAAACTTTGAAACTATAAATAACAAATCTGAGACAACTAGGATATGCGCCCAGGTTCATTGTGAACTCTGACTTATCCATCTCACCGTAAAGAAGCAGAGAAATAACTTAATTAAAGCCTGAATTCTTTCTTAGTCTGCAACATGTTAAGCAAGATTTATGGCTGCGCGTAGACCTTACGCACGTCACCTAGGCACGTCGCCTACATCGTTGTGAGCATTTTCACTTGTGTGGTGGTGTGTCTGTGTCACTCAGCACCTCAAAAACACTAGTCGGCTGCGGGGGTTTCTGTGAAATGCTGTTAAGTTTAGTTGATTCAAAACACACCCAAAACACACATTAAATATGGCTTAATAGTGATAATTTCAAACACAAGTACACAAATTGGCTTCACTATAACTCGCAGCACTCACAGACAAACACTTGTCTTTATCTGGACAAATTTACCCCATTTGCTAATGTTGTTAGCACAAGCCTATGGTATTTTATATTGTATAAATTAGCCTAGCTACTAGCGATCTTTTCCTCTTCTCATATGAAACCTGGATAAATCCCCAAGTATAAATCCCTGATGGATAAATTACACACAAGACTTAAAATGCTATTTTAGTGGAGGCTTTACTGTGTTCACAATTTATTGTTTCTTATTCGTGAACTAAAAGTAAACAAAAGCTTTGTTTCCACTGAGGGAAATGGTGTCAGTATACAGAAACAGACAGGAGGTCTGCATCACCGTGACGCGTAGGTGCACGCATCACGGTAGCCTAACGTAGGTGCACGTCAGGCTACGGCGTAGGTTACGGCGTAGGCTCTACGTCAACATGGAGCCTTCGCCATAGCGATGGCGTTGATTCAATGCAGAGGTATAAATTAACTTTTAGTCTGGAGGTTTAAACTTATCCTATCCTGTCCTTGTGTACAACACAGCTACACTGACAGATAACTGAGCCTCCTACCTGCCTGTCAAACAGCATTAAACCATAAACTTTTGTAGCAGAATGAGATTGT